TGTTGAAAAAAAAAACTACATTTCTGTTGTCTATCATTTTTTACGTATCTTTCATAGTTTCAGAGTTATTATATAAATAAGGCAATTTTTTTGAATAATGAAAAATACGTTTTCAACTTTTACCGTACATTATTAAAAAAATATGCATTCTAAACAGGTCTAACTTCAGGATCATATGAAAAACACTAAAACAAATCTAATTGTAAAGGGTCTACGATTAATTTTAATTCTGATGGAAATTGTACAGCGTTTACTTCTCATTTTTTCTTAAAAAATATGAGCAACCCATCTGATTTGACGATAACTCCTTCAATTATGCTCTAATTAATTTATAAGTGCTTATTTTGAAAGTCTTTTTGAGTACTACAAAAAACTCCTGGACACGTAAAATTAATCCTTTTTTCCGTTATTTGACGTTGAATACATCGATTCGAATTCCCCCCAAAACAAGTCCCCTTCCACTATCCATATTTCGCTTTGTATAGGACGTACAACACTTTTTAAAAAATGATTTTCTTTGTTTATTTATAAGCTACATTTTTGTTCATTACATTTTTTTAAATAAAATGCGTAGTTTTTGAGTTATTCGCGAAAAATACTTTGAAAAAGTGTTTTTTTTCACTCAAAATTCCAAGTTTTCAATCGTGAATAACTAAAAAACTATTGATTTCTCGAAAAAACTCTTCGAATATATTTTGCTCAAAATTTGATTCTCTATCGATTTCCAGTATTTATTTTTGAAAAAAAATTTCAACCCCCAACAGGGTGGAAGCGTCAATCGGCGCTATGTCACTAATGTTCATTGACCTTTTCTCTAACTATCTGCCAAATTTCAAGTCGGTGGGTTCAGTTTCAAAGAATTCGGAGATGAAAAGCTTCAATAACTGTCCTATAAACATTTTAACCATGATAATTCAGGAATACATAGAGTAAATAAAAATAATGGCACACTGTTATATCAATTTACTTTCGAATCTTTACGCTTTTGAGATTGATATTAAAATAAAAAAATATATTATATCCGTAGATACCTTCTAAATAAATGAGAAATACAGGATGTTAATTAACTTATGTAAAAAATTTAAAGGTGTGAAAAAGGAGCAGAAACTGTAAACACCCTGTATATTAATTTTTCGTCCTATCCATAAGCTATCACGTATCTAGAAGATCGACATAAACTATTATTATTTCAATCTACCCGTTGAAATACATAAATTGAGATCTACCTCGAATTTGATGTATTCGACGAAACAATGTTCAGAATACGTCCGTGTGGGTAATGACAATAATTATTTCCCGTTCAGGATCTACATCCGGTCCCCTAGTTCGCAGTAATTAAAACATAGATGCAGTATCCATTTACTGAAACGAAAATTACGTGGCTTTGTGATGTGGCGACAAAGCGAGTGGTGATTCCGTTCTAAGCATTGTGGGAGATGATTTAACGGCTGTTATTGAATATTAAAAATCTAGTTTTCTGTCATATCTTTCTAAATTGTTATTCGATTGTTTTAATGGTTGCACACTTCGATTCCTCAGGACCTTTTGTAGAAATTGTACGAATTTTTCTGAAACGCTACAATTATATTAGATAAAACACATGAATATCACGAAATTAACAAACGTCTGTTTTTCTATTTGAACAAAACTCTTTGTTATAATTGTGTCAAGTATGGAAATTCTAATCATTATTAATGAAGAATTTTTTAAAGTCAAATATGAAAAAAAGCATAAACAAAGTTTTGGCCATATTTAAGAGATAGATTAATCAAACTATTACAATTTTATTTGCAAGAACTTTTATTATATTTTGAAATTTTTAAAAGAGCCTTCCACCTTATGGTAAATTTAGTTTGTATAAAAAAATAGAATGAATATTAAAGAAAATATCAATATAAAGAAATTCTCAAAACTGGTGTGCTCCTTGAATAGTAAATGGGCTAGATATCGTTTACAAAAGTTCAAGATTCCGAAGAAAGCAAAAGTCGAAACATTTGTTCAAAAAGCCAAAGATGAACAATTTTTATTAACGAAGGTAATTCACGCCACTCTGTATAAAGACGTATTTTCTGATACTTGATAATCCATCGAAAAATAATTCTACCAACATAATTGGAGCTTCAGAACACGATATGGTTTTAAGAGATTACCTTGCTTCCACGTCTGGAATAATCTTGATCCACTGTAACATCGAGAATCTCAATTTTCGAACAAAGAAAATATAGGTAGTCATATTATCGAAGAAATCTATCCAATTAAATTAATAAGTAGCAGTTGTACGGAAAAGACTTTTGTTCGAGGACAAATAAGTATTTTTCGTTACTATCAACTAAGTGTCTTTTAAACACAAAACATATAATTAAAATGTCAACATTTTATGACCGTTTTCGAAAAAATAGAATAAAAATCCAAAAAGGGGACATATTTAAAATATCAGAATACATAGTTTTCTGCTAGGTCTTAGGTCCGCAAGTAAATCACACATGACGTAAAAACCAGGGACCAATTCAGAACATCAGATCGACCTGAAACGTATAAATTGACGATCTATTTTAACCGTCGACAATCTCTAATTGAACTGTTGTATTTTAATCTTTAAATTATTGATAAATGTTCGTACTTCTATCTTGCTGTGTATGAAATTAACCTTCTACAAATATGTTTACTTACACGTAATGTAAAAGCAGAGAACGGTCCTGAAACGTACGATTTACCGGCGGACATTAGAATAAAACTACTTTTTATGGTTGCAATATTTTATTTGCACCTAAAAGAAGCAGTAGCAAAAGAAATTAACTGAAGAGTAACTTTTTCTAGTAGAGGATTGCTGTGCTGTTTTTCTGGATTGCAAAGCAAAAACACCCGCTTGGAAATATTTAGACGTAGGTGGGATCTCTCGTCTGGCGTATTTATATGTCCTGCTATAATTTTTATCCCACACGTACGTTTTTTTTCATTTAAAAAATATTTTTATAGCCAACTGTCCCCAAATTATTTAAATACAAAATTCCTGATTATAATTGCATTTCCTATGCGTATATAAAATCAAAATTAAGTATAAAGCTTTTCTGTCTTTCCCGTATTATGCTTCGACCCCCTCTAACAAAACTATTACATTTCTTGTACACCTATCTACATATTTATAGGCGAGCGGTTCAACTTTAAAAAGATGCTTCTAAATGAAGGTAACATACTAAATTTTTAAAACAAAAACCTACAGCATGAAACTTTCCTTATTTTATGAAGTGTATTTTTGTAACAATTTACATATATTTTTTATATTTTTCGTCGTGGTCCGTCAGTTGTTATAAACAAAAAAGTTGTAAAAAAAAATTACTCGCCGAATGGCTTTTTTTTATTGTAAAATGGACCACAATAAACACATTTTGTTCTTTGACAAAAATTCGAAAAATGCTTCGTTTCCGAGCTATTTACAATTTAATGTGAAAAAAATGATAAAATCGACAAACTTTCGGAATTTTTTTCTCAAAAACTACTGAACAGAGTTTAATTCTAAAAAAAGCATAATAATCGGCAGATCTTCTACTTTAAGATATATTTTTTTGGTATGGGTCAATTATTTTGTTTAGTTTAGTGAAATTGTAACTCTAGATCCATTGACACATGGAAGGAAAATCGAAAATGGTTGTTTGGATTTTAATTATTTCGAAGGAGATTATCCAATAACTTTTTTATTTTCGAGACCGCTAGGTCAATTATTATTATTAGGTTAATTTTACTATTTAAAAAGCTCATTTAATTTAGTTTTGGTATAACTTTCAAGCAATTTTAGCAATTTATAAAACCAAAAATCGAATATTTAAAATTTACTATTTACTTGCAAAAACCTTACTCCGGCTACAAAACCAAAAAAACATAATAATGTTTATTGTAAATACATATAATCTAATTCAAGATATTGCAAAAAGAAAAATTTAATTTGAAGTGTTATCATAATTTTCTTTAAAATACTTTTTTAACCCCCTTAAAACCTCAAAAAAAAGAATGAACCAAAACAAAAAAATATAACTTAAAGTAGAAAATCTGCCGATTATTATGCGTTTTCTTAGAATTAAAATCTGTTGAGTAATTTTTCAGAAAAAAGAGTGTCGATTTCGTCACTTTTTCATATTAAATTGTAAATATCTCCGAAACGAAGCATTTTTAGAAGTTTTGTCAAAGAACAAAACGTGTTTATTTTGGTTCATTTGACTGACCACGCCGAAAAATATTAAAAAATATGTAAATTATAAGAAAAATACACAATAAAATAAAAAAAGTTTCATGATGTAGGTTTTTGATTTAGAAATTTGGGCGGTTCATGCCTTTTTTTAGGGGTGAACCGCTCGCCTATTATGGCGTGATCTGCACCATGTCATAAAATATAATTTATTAGATGTACAACCTTTAGTTCAAAAGTCAGTTTCTGTGTTATTTTTTCGTAAAATTTCTCAATTTTTCTCAGTTTTATCGCCAAAGCAATAGTCACGTGACATATAGTTTTAAGTTGCTAAAAATGCAGGGTCACTAACATTTTCCTATACAGGGTGTTATTGAAATAAGTGCGTTCTTTGAAAAGGGTGATAGAGGCACGAAAATGAGCAACTTTTATTAAGCAACTGATGGTCTAACTGCTATTCTTTTCGAGAAAATTAACTAAGAAAATTAACCAGAAATGTAAGTCGCCCTGTGCATCTTGTGCACGTGCGTTTTGTGTTGCAGTATTACTCGCTACGTTGGTCCATCACGTACGAAGAGTTCAGGCATTAAATAACAATGATTTTCAATCCCGTGTGGAATTTTGCCAGTGGTTTAGACATCAAACAGCACAAGACCCGGATTTTACAAGCAAGGTGCTTTTTACGGATGAACGTTGTTTTCCTGGAGACGAAGTTCTCGAATGTTGTGAACGAAATAGTAGTACAATTTTTGTATTTTTGTACAGCGACATCTACACGAACATCGTGGTACTTTCTTAGAAGGAATCTTAACAATCTTACCGTACTGGTTCCTGATGATGTCGGGATCGGACCCCTCCACCGAGTTGCAGTTCCTCACCGGCTCGACCACCATGGCCTGCTCGGGGGTGAGGGGGCTGCGGACGCCCGTGACGGACCCGTCGAGGATGAGGTCGTCGGCGGCGATGACAGCCTCCATGGGCACGTGCTTGGAGCCGTTATCGGGGCGGCGGCACGGCCGGGAGTAGTGTCGGCGGCACAAAGCCGCCAAAACGAGGCAGACGCCGGTGGCGAGGACGCCCGCCGTCCCCAGCAGGCCCATGATCAGCGGACTGACCGGCATGCTGGCGGTGGAACCTGGAAAGGAGGCAGGCGACGTTTTAGGTCGGGGTGCTTTGTGTCGGGTTGGTCGAGCAAAGAGCCGCGCTAATTTATCTAGACAGTCATTTCTATGGCTACACATGGACAATCGTGGATTGCATAATCGCCATTTCAGCGGTCTCACACCAGACGGGTTTTCAGCAGCAGCTCCTAAAGTTTCGAGTGAGTATATTGTTTTTTGGCCTTCGTATTTTTTGACTTTACTTTAAAGGTATTACACCAATTCAAACTTTTTTTTATGGGAAGTCATATTGAATGAAGTCAACCTGTGTTCGATACCAGAAACATTGGTATGCCAAATACAGGGGGATTCACAACTTATTCAAACAAATTTGGGAATAGATGCGGCATGAGAAATAGAGTCAATATCGTAAAAAAAAATGTAAAATCCTTAGTTTCCGTAAAAGAAACTGAATTGAAGTTTTAGTACCTTTAACCATTACATAGCTGGACAATTGTAGTCTCTAGAGTCATTCGTAATAGTACAGTCATTGAAGCTGAAAATCAGCTGTAAGCTCCGAATTCCTTGAAACTGCATGGATTTGCATGAAAATTTATTAGGCTCATGTTCAAAAGTGACATAAGCCCGATTGACGCTTTTTATTTTTTAGGGGTAAAAACTACCCCTAAGTGAAAAAAATTGAAAAAATTAAGTTTTAAGCATTTTATTGATAAAAATCTTGTTCAAGCACAAAGATTAAATAATGTTCCATGTTCTCGAACATGTTTTATGATATATTTGATCTTTTCGACCCTTTATTTAACCCTTAAAAACTACCCCTATGCAAAAAATAATGATAAAAAATTACTTTTTAAAGATTTGGAATGATTAAATCGTGCAATTATTTAAAATAAAAGTTACCTTATAGCTAATAAAAGAATTTTTCCCTTTCAACCCCTAAAAACCACCCCTGTATTGACAAAAATGATAAAAAATTACTTTTTAAAAGCTTGGAATGCTTTAACGGTGCAATTATTTAAAATAAAAATTCCCTCATTGCTTATGAAAGAATTTGTATCTCATAACACTTTTCAACCCTTATAAATCACCCCTGTGCTAAAAAAATGATAAAAAATTACGTTTTAAATCTTGGAATGCTATAATTGTGCAATAATTTAAAATAAAAATTCCCTTATATTGTTTATGAAAGAATATTTTACTTTTGCCATTTTCAACTCTTATAAACTACCCTTTTACCAATATTAATGTAAAATATTTTTATTATAATCGATTTTTAAATATAATCAATCATAAAAAAATTGCTACGCTGCATATAAATAATCACACTAAATTTTTTTACTTATTTTATTTGTATAATATATAATATAACATATAAAAATGAGAAATCCTATTTTGCTCCGAAAAAATGTCATTGGTTTTTTTACCATAACTCGGTTAATTTTGAAGCTATAGTATCCTACAAAAAAGCATTTTAAAGATAATTTCAAGAGCTGTAAGATCGTTTGCATATAAAACCTTTTAAGTCCTTCGTTTTTTAAAGGGAAAGGATCGAAGGGCTCGAGACAGGTCGTTTTTTCACTAAAATGGATACTTCAAGCGGCGATATCTCCTTTATTTTTTATGCTATAGGAATAAAAAAAACAAAATATTTGTTGAAAAAAAAGCTACATTTTTGTTGTCTATCATTTTTTACGTATCTTTCATAGTTTCAGAGTTATTATATAAATAAGGCAATTTTTTTTGAATAATGAAAAATACGTTTTCAACTTTTACCGTACATTATTAAAAAAATACGCATTCTAAACCGGTCTAACTTCAGGATCGTATGAAAAACACTAAAACAAAACTAATTGTAAAGGGTCTACGATTAATTTTAATTCTGATGGAAATGGTACAGCGTTTACTGCTCATTTTTCCTTAAAAAATATGAGCAACCCATCTGTTTTTGACGATAACTCCTTCAATTTTGCTCTAATTAACTTTTATAAGTGCTCATTTTGAAGGTCTTTTTGAGTACTACAAAAAACTCCAGGAGCGTTATACACGTAAAATTAATCCTTTTTCCGTTATTTGACGTTGAATACATCGATTCGAGTATTCCCCCCAAAACAAGTCCTCTTCCACTAACCATATTTCGCTTTGTATATACGACATACAACACTTTTCAAATAACGATTTTCTTTGTTTGTTTATAAGCTACATTTTTGTTCATTATACTTTTTTAATAAAATGTGCAGTTTTTCAGTTATTCGCGAAAAATACTTTGGAAAAGTGTCTTTTTTTTAACTCAAAATTCCAAGTTTTCAATCGTGAATAACTAAAAAACTATCGATTTCTCGAAAAAATTCTTCGAATATTATTTGCTCAAAATTTGATTCTCGATCGATTTCCAGTTATTTTTGAAAAAATAAATTTCCACCCCCGAGAAGGGGTGTCAATCCCTAACAGGGTGGAAGCGTTAATCGACACTATGTCACTAATGTTCATTGACCTTTTCTCTAACTATCTGCCAAATTTCAAGGCTATCGGTTCAGTTTCAAAGAATTCGAAGGTGAAAAGCTTCAATGACTGTACTATAATCCGTGTGGAGAGCCACGTGGCCTCAGCGACTCCGAATACTGAAATCCGATTTTACAATCGTCGTTGTCATAGTGTTTACAATAGTTTTTTAATTGTTCGTGTCAAAAATGGCTTGCGTGTAGTAACATTTGCGTAAAATATTTGTATTATGGCGAAGCATTTGTGTTATGGTGAAACAATACAGCATTTGTGTCGGTTCGTAGAAACTGAGTAAGACGGACCCAAATGTAATAACACGTCGGTTGACAAAATTTTGAACAGTTGTAACATCAGGTATGTCACATTATTTTATTACATAATTATTTTATTAATTAATAATAACAATAGCGGTCAAATCAGTTGAATTTGTTGATATAAAATTCTATTTATTCCATTCCTTGCGAAATTTTTGTCCGTTTTCATCACTGCCGCCGTGACGGTTGCATTGTGCCAGGTCAGGTTTTACAGTGGGCCAGTTTCCAGTGCCGTACAGAAGTGTATTTTAAAATCATTTTCGAACTGCTCTTTTTGATTTTTTCTTTACAAAATTATATTTGTATGACTCCCCTGTACATTCAGAATTCTTTTTTGGATAAGTTCTGAATTACCTTGTATATCTAACCCCACAGACAATATATTGCGGGAAACAACTGCGGGTTAGATGCTTCAAGTAGTAATGAACTGCACAACAAACTTAGTAAACACAGCATAGATGATAAATTCATCAAATAAAGAAATATCTGTCATTCATATACAACAAAAATAATACTGGAGCTAATATAGATCCTTGCGGAACACCTATACCAATTTCGGTTATTGTTTCTTGGTAATGCCCTTGGCCTAAATACCAAATAACTGTCATGACACGCGCACAACATCCTACTGTTCTTACATTGACAACAGTAGTCACGAATAGCTTTTGGACCTGCCTTGTCTACTTTTATAAGAATGTACAGAAAATATCATTCCTCCTATGTGAGTCGCTGTTCCCTTATAGTGCTCACGTTCTGTTTTTCCTCTCTATATCTGAGACAGTACACCTCTCTTCTTTATACGTTTCATTTACTATTTCAGCAAATTTAATTGTTACAAGCTCATTATTCCGTTTTCAATTCAGGTGAACAAGCAATAAAGTTAGCAAATTACACGAATACGATGTCATTTCATACATATTAATTATAATTTACGTACTGCCAAGCCTAGCAAGCATCCACCGTCGTGGATCCTGAAAATTTATGAAGTGTGGCGTTTCAGTGAGAGTGTGGGGGGTACGGGGGCGGTAGACTTTGTAACCACAATATTAGATTCGGAACTACCGTAATTGGTAATGTTTGTGAAGTTAATTTGGTGAACTCATGGGGAATATTTTGTGATTAATTCTCTGTTCTAGACGAGATGACGGTATGCATGGTTCCCTACGGGCGCAGATGTTCGACTCTCTAAAATCGGGGATTAATATGGACGGTACTGTTCCAAATCTAATCGTTATATTTCTGGTATTGGTTATTATATTTTTTCGTTTAAAAATCTCATAGAATAAAAACTGAGAACGAGGCAGACTACACTTGTGAATTATTTAGATCATTCTAGACAGCAAACAAAAATAATTGATGAAGTCTTCCAACACAGCACAGCAGCGCCTCGAGGTAGTGTGTTAGGGCCACAATTGTTCTTAGTTTACGTTAATGATATATACATTATTTAAAAAAACTCATTGGTTAATATTTTCGTTGATTGACACACTTTCATTTTTGATCGTTTTCAAAATGTGACCTTGATAAATTCAGAATGACGTTTGGTTCAAAACAACGATGTAAAAAAATGCCAAGGAAACTCCCATATTAGCGTGAATAACAATCGGATTACATACTTTGGAGTTATATTAGATCCTTAGTATTATGCGATACATTATGCTATCAATGTTATATTCGATTTTTTTTAGTTTTCACCTTCTGAGATGGCAGTAAGAGACTTTTTAACACTAATATGATGTTATAAACTCAGCAAAAAAATTAAAGGAGCAGAAAAGTTTCCAAATATTTTTTGTGATTTTTGAAAGTCTGCTAACTTCGTGAATAATGGTCGTATCGAGAAAAAAGAAGCATCTTGAAGCTTGAAGATCGGTCGAACCGTTTTCTTTTCCTCAATCGTCAAAGATTTACAAAAAATTGAAGGAGCAGGTTTATTTCTACTTAAACATCAATTAATTATTAAGATGAAACAATTTTTTGCGTTATTTATTTCTCAATTTCGCGTTAAATATTCATTAAATATAGAAGAAAAAAGATAAAAATCAAAATTTTGATCAAATTTATTTTTTTTTTAATTTTCAAAGAAAATTTTTTTTTCTCGACATTTGAAATATTCATTGTAAAATTATAGAAAAGAGGACCCAAAATTTTCTTTTTAAATTTGAAAAAAATTTTTTTCAAAATTGAATTTTTCTTTAA